TCCCAGCCAGTAGTCAAGCATATACATCATCATGGGGTCAAGGGCATCATGGGATTGCTCACTGTTTAGGAAGAAACAGTGGTAACCATGTTGTCCTCTCTTCCATGTAATCTCCTACCAGGTCAGTGGATTTACTTACTAAGTGTCTTAGTCTGTTTTTGGTTACTATAAGGAATTACTTGCACCTGGGTGCTGATAAACAGAAGAGGTACTTAGAATGAAAAGAGAAACTTAAACTCACAGTTTGGGAACCTAAAAGTCTGAACCACATGGTGCTGGCTCTTGCCAGGTCGCCAGGCTTTATCCCTTCATGGCATATGCCACTATGATGGCAGGAGTCAAGGCAAAAGGAAAGGTTCGCATCACTGGACAGGAAGCCAGAGAGCCATTCATGCATCTGGCTCAAGCTCTTATGACAGCTCACTTTTGTGAGAACTAACTCAGGGATCCCACAAGAACGCCCTAATCTCTTTTAAGGGCACAACCCTAAGGACTCAATCCCACTAGGCCTTGTCTCTTTAAGGTCCCACCACGTTGCATATTGCCACATGGGGATGGAGCATAGTTGGTTCTTATAAAACTAGATGATTGCAAGGATTCTGCAGATGGTTGTCATAAAACAGGAACACAAATATCCAAGCATCATAGTGTAGCCTGTGGTCCACTTTGCCCACTAGTGATCCTTCCGTCCAGCAGGTATTCTGCAGACATATTTTAGGCTGGTGCACTGACTTTTGCTTTGCTCATTAGCCTGGTAAGAAATAGCCTAGATTGGAAGAGGTTTCTCATCTCATCACTCAGGGTCCAGTCACCAAATACAGGAAATGAATTTGCATCCCTTTCCAAGCCCAGCTCCTGGCAAAATGGAGCAGCTCAATGCTCAGTCACTCTTTTCTTGTTTCTTTAGGAGATATTATGACTAGAAACTTGGCAGCTTGCTCTTTCAAAGTGACAGCTTTCAAAAACTCTACCTAACACAATTTAGCCTAATTCCAAACACACCAGAAAATGGATTGTTAAAAAAAAAAAATCTCTCCGCAGGAGCCAGCTGCCTGTCGGTCCTCCTACTCTTTCTCTAATATGAAAAAAGTGGATTATCTTCTCCCTAGGTTGTAAAAATATTCTTCTGAGAATGATTATACCTGTCACAGATGGAATCTTGAAATAAGTTAAATGTTGAGGTTCATATTCAAGGAATTCCCTGGTGTGCTGAATTCTCCGTGCAATCTTTGGTAATGTGATTACTAAGCTGTAGGTATTAATGTTATCTGTGAGGTCACAGTTCATTAATGATGAGAAGAACAATAGGAAAAGTAGTTTCATTTTTTTCACTTTGTATGCCTGAATTTTAAAGTACCACAATTACAATGAAGACATTGTCTTTGGGTGCTAATTTTTAAAACTGTTTCTCTCAAGATGTCCCAAATCCTAAAATGTTTAAGAATTTTCCTACTCAGAGGGAGCTAGCCCAAGACAAGTGAGGCTCACGCTTCTTCCAAGGGCAAAACTCCCTCCCCGCTCCTCCTCCAGTCCTGAGCCTCTCCGTTTGTTCATGTCCTCCTTACCACTAGAATGACCTTCATACAGCAATTCTGCTGTTCAGAGTCCTTGACGGGTCTTCATTGTGTGTAAGACCAAAGGTGGATCTTCAGTGCCCATGACGGTGTCAGCCCTGCCGTGTTTACTCAGGTGTCTCTTCTTCCTTCTGTCCTTTACTCACTCGTTGGGACCCAGCATATAAACTGTTCCCTCTGCTGATAATTCTCTTCATCCTGTCCGCCTTCCAAGACGTAGCTCCATACCTTCCATCATTAAGTCTTCCCTACTCCACCGTACCAGACATTCCTTTCTATTAGTGAGCTGAAATTTGCACTAACCTTGATTGCAGGATTCACTGCAATGATTTGCACTGAATTACAATGATTTTTTTCTTGGTTTATTCTGTCTACTGGGAAAAAAGCTGCTTTAAGCCGTGGACTGACTTCCCTTGGCAACCTCCAGAGAGAGCCTGGAACAGCTGCTGACACATGTGTGACAGCTGGTCTGTGTTTCTCGTGAAGGGAATGGAGGTGAACTGGCACTTGCCAGTGTCACTGCTCACTCGTGTACTGAAGGCATCCTGTTCTTTCAACAATTTTTGACCCCGCTGTACTCAGGACCGCTTGACTCCTAACGGATTAATGTAATCATCTAGTTCTAACAAAGAACGCTGGAAGGGAAAACTATTCTGAAAGGGGCAAAGATTCCCTTAGCCTGCACCCCAACAGCTCCTACTATCTCCAAAGGTCTTACACAGCCAGGCTTGGTTTCATGTTTGAAATCAGGGTAGTGGACCTGCCCAATAAATATCCTGGTATTGCTGCAAATGCTCACTTAATGTGAATAACAGAGTCAAACCAGCCCGAGCATACGAAGTTATCTTCTGGAGTGCTACGTTTCCAGCCACAGGTAACTTGAGACAGGGAGGGGAGAGGGGATTTTGTTAGAAACACTAGTTGAGTACAAAGAACAATCATTTAGAAGCTGATACCAATCCAGACAAGCTGAGGCAGTGTCACAGCACTTTTCCTGGCTAATCTTGAGCATCCAAAAGGACATTAAGATCCATAAGATCATGTGAGGGTATCAGAGACACCACAGCTGGCTAAGTCAACCAATCACCTCAAATATGTCAATCTTTCTTAAGTGTTTCAGTGTGTATGGGAGGAACCACACGTTTATATATTTTGGTATAGATTTTGCACTAATGAAAGACTTGTTCACAAAAGATTTCAAAAGGCCACGATTTAAGTGCATTATACACACCAGTGTGTATTATGTGCATCCGGTCAGGTGTTACCGCTACAGGCTTAACCAAAATGAAAACTCTGACAGTTCTCTCCCTTCCTCTTCCTACCTCTTAGGATTTCTCAGTCAGTGTCACGAGAACGGCTTCTGAGAGTGAAGAAGCACCGCAGAGAGAGAAAGTGGCAGACAGCTTTTGGATTCCTTAGGGCTTTGTTAAGCTGGAGCCAAAGGCAGCCTTCGCCTCCTTGGTTGATCCCAGAAGATAAAAGTGCTCATGGAGGCCGCTAGTGGCCACCGGTTGAACTGCAAGATGATGGTTTCAAAACAACACAAGGCAAAGCAAAAAACAAAACAGGGAACTTGGCCTTCCTAACCTTAGTCCCTTAGCAGGGGTGCCTTAAGGAGCACTTGATAATTTTATGCCAGACAACCTGAGTTTTGGACAGTTAAACAGAAATCTAAATGTGCCGTGTAACCTTACTCAGACATTCTGTACTGAGGTGTTTTTCCTGCCCTATTTGGGACTTGACAGCTGTGATTCCTTGATCCGAAGGCCTCATTCTCACATCCTGTAGCACTTAGCAGATCTGTGCAAAAAATATTAAATGGGTGCGTATTTTTGAAATTTGGAACTTGCTATTAATAATAAGATTGTAATGATACTAAAGATGTTGAGTCATGCAATTTGCAAGTGACTGACTGAGTTTATTCATTCAATTCATTGTACAGACAGTCACTGAAGCCTCAAATCCCTGTGCCAGGCCTCCCACCAACACCCCAGAGTGTCACCTGCATTGTGAACTTGTGACTACATGGTCCATAATACCAGATGCCTTGAAATAATTCAGTGGAGTTATTCTCCACTCCTGCCCCCCAAAGAGAGAACCAGTCACCTCAGATTTTTAAAAATGGTTGGTTTAAAAATGGTCGGCAGTTTTGATGTCCTATGAGCTCATTTTTGTTTAGATTGCAGATGTACGGGGCCACAGCTTGGGCCCTCTCCCATGAGCTGAGTGTTCACTGGACTCTTGATCAGTGACGTCCAGATCCGCATGCTGTGGGTCAGTGACGGTTACTGCTCATGTGCTGTGGGCTGGAGGTGAGGACCTCAGTCCTCTGATGCTCAGGACAAGTTGTAGCCATTGCTTTCATTTTGCTGATGGGAAAACCGAGTTTGGGGACATCCTGATCACTTGTCCTGGGTTCTAGGGTAGGAAGCTGAGTCTTCTTTGCTCTTGGGGGAAGAAAGGGGCTCTTTGTTCCTTAAACTCATCTGCAAGGTCTGCACAAGTCTCAACTTGCTGGTTTGCTTATTAATCCACAAATACTGTCTCCTTCCTTTGCTATTGTGAGCCCTGCATCCACCTGGGGCTTTCAGCACTGGGCTAATTCTGAAGTGGCTTAGCCACACGTGACCACCCTCACCCACCCCACCATGTGGGTATTCACCCCTTTATGATTCGCAGCACAGAGAGCCCTGGACCAAACTTGGATTCTGGTGCATAAATGCTCTAACCAAAAGTACTCCCAGCTAGATGACATTCGGGGACAGGAGCCTGAGTGTTCCTGCCATGGCCCAAGGGAATACCAGCTGCTTCACCAAGCCTGTGCTGGCACCTGGACCCTGTCACAGCTGACAGGGCTGAGGAGGTTAGCTGGTGGCTGCTGCACCCAGGGCAGATCCCTCAGGACCAGGCAGAGGCGAGAGGCAGGGAAAGCAATTCGCCTCGCCTGCTCCCCAGACTGCTCCAGAGACAAATAGAGGGCTTCCATCTCTATTACTGTCAGGATCTGGCACTTCTGGCCAGCTCTGAAATTCACAGCCCTGGACAGAGGAGGGAGTGGGGAGAAGGAAGGAGGTGCAAGCCAGACAATGAAAAACAGCCACAATAATTTGGAAGTGGAATCTTCCAGCTAGCAAGCATTGCTAAAAGTGTGGAACAGTAGGGCTGGAAGAGGCCTCAGTGAATCCAGCATCTTTGTTTTGTACAGGAAATCACTGAGAGGAAGAAAGACAAAATGATTTCCCTGAGGTTACATGATCCGTTAAGTGGCAGAATTGGGACGAGGATCCAAGCCTCTGGTGCTTTTACAAGAGCAGTTTGGCTTCCTCTCTTTAGAACCAGAAACCAGCAGAGACATCCTTCTCCCCCAGCTCCTGCCTGGGAGGAGGTGACAGGCCTGAGCTGAGTCCAACACACTGATGCTCCTACCTTCTAGGTTGACACCCCGGGGCACCAGGCCTAGCAGCTCCTCAGTGGGGAGCTCGGCTTCTGCTGCATTGGAGTTGTTGGGGGGCACTGCTCTCCTGCCCCCAAAGGTGGTCCTGGGACTGTCTGACATTCTCAGCTTTCCAAGGTCCTTGCAGTGGAAGCCCTGGAAAAAGATTGAGAAATGAGTTCCATTTGATACCAGCATTCAAAAATAAAGAAGCAGACTTATCTGTGTGTGATAGCACTTGAGCGACACGTGCTACGCTTTGCATAAAAAATAACAGAGAAGTGGCAGGAAGGATGAGCCTAATGACGAAGCATGGCACCCCAGGGGTCTCAGGGAGATTTGGTGTTTGTCAGAACACGTGGAAAGCAAGAGAATGGGGGTTTGCTTGAAGAAATGAGCAACTTTATAGATTTTAGAGTGCAAGGCTTTCCCTTCTCCACTATCCCCGAAGGAAAACATCTTACTAAGAGATTTTTATCACCATATGGATGTACCTAGACCCATATCCTGGAGATTTACAACTTCTAAGTCACTTTTAAGATTAGATTCACACAACCATGGCCAGATAAGTGCTGTCCTCTAAATCATTTACATTTGCACTTTAATTCCATCGATACTTTTTGAGGGTTACTCTGTACCAGCTGGGATCTAGGTATTTGGGAGAGATCCATCAGAGTACAAGACAGGATTTCTGCCAAGAGAGCTGAAAGTCTAGTGGGGTGAGGGAGGAGCATGACAAGGGTCACAACCCCGTGGAGGTGACGCTGGAGGGAGTGAGATGAGGCGGTGGGGTGGAGGCCACTTGTAGGTAGGACTGTGACAGCCTGTCCTCTAACTCACTTGGTGCCAACAGGGCCCTGTGCCATGCTGCTCCTTCAGTGCAGACCAGGGGCCAGTGAAAACACCACACACCTTGTAGTTATGCACAATGAGTGCTTGTTGACCGACTGACCAAGTAAAGGAGCACTTTGTTTTTGGGCAGTGAGCACCTGGGTCAGCCAACCACGACTCCTGGCAGGGTGGAACCAGCATGCCTTCTGAAGATGAAGAGTCACCCTGATACAGTCACTCAGACTAGACTATTTTGAAACACATAGGACAATGGCCACAAGGCTGAAGACCACACAGCAGGCCTGGGTGAATGACTGTTTTATAGTCTTGGACAGAGGCAAGTGTGCTGGAAGGGTTAAGGTCCAGTAGATCTCCACGAATACTTATCAACGTATTACAGTCTCCTCCCAGAGGCAAAGGGGTGAAGGGTAAGAAAACAATTTGAGGATGGACAGAAGATAAGAAAAAGCCACCCTGGAAAAACAGCAAAGCTGGGGCTGTTAGGGGACAAGAGTGCAGAACAGCACAGAGCCCACTGGAGAAGGAGAGGTCAGTTACTCAGAGGTTCCAGGTGCCAGCCAGGTACAGCAGGTGCAGAGCTGCCGAGTGTGGCTGGGCAGCGGGCACCCAATCGCAGGGTCAGGGGTGGAGGTGGAGCTCAAGGTCAGCTGCTACTTGGGGTAGGGCAGGGCTAAATGCAGAAGGGGAGTCAAGCCTTCCTACCTGGCCCTCTCCCTTCCTCAAGCTCTTGTGACCCTGAGGGAAGGGGCCTTTTGGGTAAAGCCCCCTCTCTCAGTCCCTTCCTGTGGTCTTCTTAACAAGCGGCACTTTCCTGGTGACTTGGCAGAAAGTGAGCCGGCTGCCTCAGAAGTGGAGCTAAGCCTTGCAAAGTGAGGGGTGAAGAACTGGAGCCAGAGAAGCCAGGCTGCCTCAGCCCCCCTCCGTGGTCCCACAGCAGCCACCTTGGGCTCCCGGGGGAGCCCAGGTGCTGGGGTGAGGTGTCCTGGGGAGCCATGTCCTGGGGCATGCAGTGCTCCCAGGTAGCTGCTTACCTGTATGTTCCAGCCAGGGGGCTTGGGCTGCTCTGTGAGTCTGGAAACTTCCTCAAAAGGACGCAGGAAAAGCTACCAGAAAGTTGACTCTTAAATAACTTGCTAACAGCTCCCACCCTCTTTCCCGTCCCCCGCGGTTTTCTCCTCCCCCTCCTTGCCTGCTGCAATGAGCAGAGGCTTCTAGGACTTTCCATTTATTTCTGCCAATCCGGACGTTACTCCTGTGTGGGCCCTTTCCTCTTTCCCACACCTCTGTAGCTCAGTTTCCTGTATATGCATCTCATTCCTGCCCCCATCCCCAGATCTGTCTCTGCCCCCTTGCTTGGCTGCTGGGAGTAACAGGAGAAGGATCAGAGTGCCAGGTACGCTTTCTCCCTGTGGTCCCCAGGGGTGGAAGCACCTCTCACAGCGGAATGCTTTTGCCACACAGGTTGGCTGGTGCGGCTGGGCAGTGGGGAGGGTCTGCCTTTGCAGACAGGTCACACAGACAGCTGTGACCATTCATAAAGCAAGAGCAATGTGTCCCTCCTGTGCAAATAAGTCTGCGCTCTTGAATCATCCAGGGAGCCGGTTACCATGTAACCACAAGGCTTCCTGCAGCACAGCCACACCCAGCACCAGGGAAAAAAGAGCAAACTTCTTGCAGGGTGCCACACAAGTCAGAAAATGACACTGGTGATTTCCCTGAAAACCATTTCAGGGTATCTACATGTGTAGAGAGAGAGAAAAGAAAATTTTCTTCTTAAAACTTTCCATATTTTTGTTTCTGAGTATTTGCAAATACTCCTATTTTCAACTGTGGATAGTTCTAGCCTTCTCTACTATCTTTAGATATCTGACCCTACCACAGAAAAATACCTGCATTTATCTATATATCTGTCCATCTACATCTACATCTGTTTCTGTATATAGGTATAGAAGCCTTTGGTTAGGAATTCTCTCATTCTGTTTTTCATAAGCAAATGTGTGAAATTGCCTGCAACAGTGTCTAATGTCTCCCACTTTCTGTCTGCTACGAAACTGGGAAATGTCTTCCCTCACTTCCTGATTTCACAAACTGAGTGCTCTGTGTCCTCTTCGCTTTGCTCCACTTCACGTTCTTCTTGAGAGCCTTGCTCTGCCTCTTATCCACTCTTCCTCCTGCATCTTCAACCACTTGCTCTCTCACAGCTGCTTCCCATCAGCACTGGCATAATTTCAAGTCGAGTCTCTTCAGTACAGTAAGAGTCTCTCCTCAAGCCATGGTCCCTCCAGCTATTGTTCATCCTCTCTCCTCCACTCCCCTCCATTACTAAATGATCCTGAAACCAGTTCCACACTCCCCATCATTCCATGGAAAGCATCTTAGCTCATTTTGTTGCCAAAACAAAATACCCAAGGCTAGATCATTCATAAAGAGATTTATTAGCTCGTGGTATTGGAAGATGGAAAGTCCAAAAACATGGAATTAGCATTTTCTCAGCTTCTACAAGAGCTTTGTGCTGTGGCTTACTATGTTAAAAAGGCAGAAGAGCAAGTGGGCGTGGTCCAAAGAGAACAAACAAGAGGCACAGCTTTTCATGGTAACTACCGTGTCCACTGAGAAGGATATGAACCCCTCTTAATGACTGAATCACCTCTTAAAGTTTCATCACTTCTCAACACTGTCACATCAAAGACTCAATTTCAGCATGAGTTTTGGAGAGGAGAAACCAGATTCAAACCATAGCAGTCTCCAGTGGTCCATGCACAAACCAAAGAACAAGATTCAGTTCTCATATAATCAAGTTTTTGGAAACATTGGACTATTTCCCACTCCTCCTTTGCAGGTCTTCTCTCTTGGCTTCCAGAGCATGGGACAGTCTGCTATTCCTTCCAGTGCAGCACTGTCCCTTGATTATCTCAAAAGCTCTGATGACTCAATTTCCATCTCTCTCCTAACACCTCCCAAATCTAGATTACTAATGTTGGTCTTTTCCAGAGCTGTAGGCTCTCCTATCTAACTACCTACAAGTCACCTTCCCTTGGCATATCCTGTGGCCATTCACATTCATTATACCCTATAATGAGACAGAGAGCTTTCCTGGGAGATCTGGTCCACCTCAGGAGTGGGATATCTCAGTGAATATCACCCACTTCACATTCCCTTGCCAACCCAGGCTCATGGGCATCATTCTTCTTCTTTTTTCTTTTCTCCAACCCTCAAGTCTAATCCTTTGTCAAATACTTTCAGTTCTACCTGTTAAGTAGATCTTGAATCTATCCATTTATCCTCTTCCAATCCACTTTGCACAATGCAATCAAAATGAGCTTTGCAGAGCTCAAATGTGAAGTCAGATCCTTTGCCCAAATTCTTCTATGGCTGCTTAACTTTGTTTTTAGAATAAATCCAAGCATCAATTTACAAGGTCCTGTGCAGTGCGGTCCCTACTCTCTCTCTAGACTTAACTCCTTCACACTCCACCCGTATTGTTTCACTCCACCCTCCAGTTCATACTTGCTTCAGCCGCAGTGAACATCTTATTTTGTGTCTCTTACAGAAACACACTCTTCTGCCAAAACTTCATTTCTTGTTCATCATCTAGATCAAGGCCTAAATGGCTCAAACACGCTTAGCAATCTCTTTTCTGGGAGATTATGGTTTCAGGATACGTGTTTGAATATGAAGTTGAAAAGGGCAGGAATGTAGCAGCAAGGGTAGAGTGCCAGCTAGGTTGGCTTTGGTATCCGTCCCTGGGATTGGTGAGACACATTTCTGGTTATCTGGGTGGATCACGGTGGCATTGTCCTGCAGTCTGCGTCCAGTTTTTCACTCTTTCCTCTATGGACTGCTATCTTCTCTGCTTACTTACCATTATGACCTAAGAAGCTTTGCTCTGCTATACCCTTCCACCATGATGTTCCTGCTTGCAGCCTGCCAGTCATGTATTACATACCCTGAAACCATAAACTAAATTAAAACTTTCACACTTTAAGTTTTGAGTATCTGGTATTATGCTTCAGTGATGAGAAAGCTGATCAATACAGAAAATTGGCACCAGAGAAGTAGGAAAGTTGCTGTGCCTGTGCCCATCATGTGGTTCAGAAGGCTTTGGAACTAGTTTTTGAAAGGAGTGGAGAGCTTTGGGTATTCAAACTAGATAAGGTTTAAAATGCTGTAAGCAGAATCTGATGGGTAATTCCAGTTGGAGCTTAAAAGACCTGAATCTATATAGAAATGTAGACAGTGGAGGCCAGGCTTTGGAGAGTTCAATTGGGATCAAGGACTCTGCTAGAATTTGGACTACAGGCCACATGTGTCACATTCTTAGAAAAAAAATTGTCTATACTTTGTCCATGTCCTGAGACATTTGCAGAAGACTGAGATTAAGGGTTGTAGTCTAATTGATTTGGTGCATGAAATTTCAAAGCAGCCCAACATTCAGGTTGTGGCATGGGTACTTCTGTATGCTTTAATTAATTTTGTATTGAGAATTATGGGTAAAAGGCAAATCAGAAATATTTCTTAAAGTTAAATTTTTGACTCAGAAGGAACTTCATGTGAAATGAGGGCCAAAAGAAGTATGGCTGCTGAAGAGATTAGCAGGAATTCAAAGGAACCAAGTACTTTGAACAAAGATATCTTGGGGATATTTCAGGAATCAGCAAGATCTCTTCCATCCTAGTCTCGAAATGCAGGAGTGTAAACTTTTCATTTGAGAAGAGATCCTCTGAGCCCCTGCTCAAAAGGTTGCCTAGGGAATTGGTTTGCTAGGATTCATTTCACTGTGTTGAGTTATCCAGACATTTAGAAGCTGCTGTGGGTATGATCTGGGGTGCTTGGTTAGTACCCATGCTAGTGGAAAGACCTTTCTGTCATCCATTTGATGCTGCTTTTACTGGCATGTAGATGCAAAAGTTATGGGCATCAGTGCGGCTTTCACCTAGATGTCCAAGAAAGACCTGGAAGGCAAGACAAAAAGCCCCTCCTGTGGGAGTATGTGAAGCTGTGGGAATAAAGTCAAAGTGGAGTGGAATCCCCAAGAAGTCACAAATATCAAGAATATGGAAGTCTGCCAAGGAAAGTTGTAGGCTATTAGTGGAGCTGGCCCAAGTGAAAGATCATGTAGGCTGCAACCAGCAAGATCACAGAGGGGGGGCCCTTTAAGCCCTCTGGAACCCACATCTGACCACCATGTGCTTACAACATAGAGCCATAGGATGTAATGTTTGCCTTGCTGAGGTTTTGTCTTGTTTTTGTTCAATTCCTTTCTGTTTCCCTCTTTCTTTCTTTTGAATGGAGATGTCTGCATTGTGCCATTGTACCTTACAATTATCTAACACGCTTTTTATTTTTTCAGAGATTTACAGAAAGACTTCTCCTTGACTCTCAGAAGAGAGTTGGAGTTGGACTTTTGAAAATTGCTGACATTGTTGAGACTTTGGGGAATGGATTATTGTGTTTTGATTGTATGCAAGATAGTTGTATTATGTTGGGTAAAATTACGGTCTTGTTCTTTTTTGGAGATTAAGTGTGGGTTAGGAGATATGTTTGTGTAGTTGTGAAGTTGACAAGATGGATATATGGTAGAATGTCAATTTGATTAGCATTTAGATCCACCCCCAGGACTGTTGGAGCACACTTTTGAGGATATCCAAGTGGGTCATAGAGTCATGGCCTTGGTGTCTATGTCTGGTGCCTCACCCCTTTGTCTCTGAGACTAGTCTCCACTCTGTTTCCTGGCCACCATGACTGAAGCAGCTCCGTTCCTCCATTCTCTTCTACCAGGATGGTCCTGACTTGGAGCCTGGTGACTATGTACTGAATTCACTGAAATCATAAGTTAAATTAACTTATAGGGTGTTGAGCATTGTGTTCCACAGACAGGATAGCTGGCTACTACATCTTGCAAAGAGTTTGCTTTGTCTGTCATGGTGGGTAGAAATTTTCTGTTTCCTTTGATCTACATCCACTAGATACTATAAGATACTAGATACTATTCCAACCAGAGTTCCCCAGAGAGGCAGTTGATCATTTAACTACTCAAAGCCCATCCTTCTCATAATGTTTGGTAGGGGCCAGAGAAAGATGGGGCTAGAAAAGATGTCATATTTTGGTAGTTCTCCCTACCAACCACAAAGCTTGAGTGCCCAGGACTCCTAGAACCTCTT